TTCAAAGACCATAACCTACCAAAACCTTCATGCTTTTCAATCTAACTATTAGATCAAATCCAAATTCACATCATACATCAAGCACAACTACACCCACAAATCCAAAAAAATTGACTTACAGATCTATTATCAAACTCTTGAAAATGTCCAAAATATCAACTCTATTTTATTTTCCAAAAACTAGAGTCACTAAAAACAACATCAACTTTATCAAACTCTTGTAATATTATTATCTATTCAAATCTTCCAAAATTAATACTTATAAAAACTCTATTAAGTCCCTTCTTAAATTCCACTCTTTGATCAATAAAAGAACCTCCAAATCATCATCGAGACTTAATTTTTTGCCTTGAGATCTATTTTCAATCGAGGTTCATAACTAGCCCTCTTTGGATATTGGTATCTAGTTTTTTAAAATAATTTTTATTAAAATCAACTCCTAACTCCTTCTTACATATGTTTATATTTTTTATTTTTCTAATCTATCTTATTTTACTTTATTTATGGCCCTACAAAGTAAGTAGAAGCTACTTTTTTAAAAGTCAACATTACTACTAAAAGTTTTACTATCTTCTTATCTTTTATTTATAATTTTTTACTTTATTTTTTAACTTGGCTCTTCTATAATAAGATCCATATTATTATTTTTTTATCATATAGTCATATTACAATACAACGTTGGAAGGATGTTCTACCATAGGAGAAGAAATATGATTGAGTACAAATGTTAAAGCAATTTCAACCATATCTATATCTTCACTTTCTGCCATTCTTATTATTCTTTGTGGTAGTAAATTGAGTTGATGCATTGCAAGCATTAACTCCTTCAATTGTTCTTCTATTTGTGCCATTGTACTCTTCATTTCAAGAAGCTCTACCATGATAATACTTAAAAAATAAATATCTAATATCTCTCAAGACAAGGAGAAGAAGGAACTTCAGAACAAAGAAGAAACTAAGAACAATATTAGTTTAGAAGAGGATAATCCACAACTTCTAATGTGTTTATGCTTTATCAAGAAAAAGGAATAATCCACTCTTAATCAAGAGAAGATAAAGCTCTAATATTATAAATGTAGTCTTGTCAATCTGACAAGAACATGAATTAGAAGAAGATGCATAAACTTGGAATATCTATGTTAAAAAAAAAAGTAAAAAAATAGCAATAAAATAGTATGTATATTAAAAAATATAAATAAATAAATAAATAAATAAATAAATAAAAAATTGGAATAGCTATTACCAAAAGATAAGACAACTAGAGACTCTTAAATCTAAAATAGAACCAAGAAAAGAGTTGACAAGGATAAAGAATGCTTCATTCTTGCCTCAATATATACTATCTAACTAAAAGCTATGTGGCGATGTTCTATAGGATTATTAATATGTATTGATTTTGCAAGACACCTGCTTTAGCTTACAAAGCAAGTTTTTTATGTATAGGCTTTATAAATAGATTGTTCTTCAAGCTACCAACATGTGTGGCACATGCCCAACTTATTGACCACGTTTCTAATCTAAAAAATTAATTATAGACATCTATAAAATAAAAGCAACATCTATAGAGCTTCTAAGAAACTTCTATAAAAGATATTATGAAAACATCCTAATTTTACCAACTTTTATCTAATCATATAGATAATTATTGGTATAAATGTAAATAAATGTGATAAATTCTTTGCTTCCATTCTACTTATAAAAATCTTTTATATGGCTCTTTTAAATCCTACAACTTGATGATGATAATCTTACCAACAAAAAAAGATTCATAGATGAGTTCTATACATAACAAATTAGAACTTGTTTGATATTGACATAAGTCCTATCTATGAAGAAGTTATGAAGACATTCTCCTTCACTTACTTGAGTCGATTTTGAGATTTTATTATTGATAGATGTCTCAACAAATATTAAAGTTGACACAAATGGCGCCATTGTGTCAACTCTCAAGTTACAATTTACTAATGGTTGAACTTTTGGCACATGTCTTTCACTAATTGACGCTTGATTGACCTTGCTAAATTTGTTATTTACAAATCTTATAAAAGCTATTAATAATAGATAGATCAAGCTATCAACTAGAGACAAAATTATAACATAGAATAAGAAAAACTCTACTATCTTAGTTAAGAAAATTGTAACAAAATTACTTAATACTTACATAAGGGACAAGAGTAATAACAATACAATTGATTGAATATTTATTACTTGAACCACTTATATCCAGATGATTGAAGATAGGACTGAAAATTTCACCTTATTTTATTAAACCATATTTTTGAAAATAAAATTTGACATATTTTGTATATACATAGATAAATATTAGGGAGGCTATTAATATTTATTGATTTACTTAGCTCTCATTCATCTAATATATTTGTATGAGTACACTCCCAAATTAGTTGGTATAGCTCAATACTTAAATATGTATAATTGAGCTTATCAAATAAATATTATTGTTCCATCATTTTATTGTCACTTTAAAATATTCATCATAAACTAATAAATGTATTATCTAAATGATTGTATTATTGATCCAACAACTTAAAAAGCCACACTGATTTAAAGACTTCTTTTATTTTATTTTATTTTAAATCTTAAAAAAATTGAGATAATTATATTAATAGCTTTATCTTAAGAAATATAAAATATTCTAATAGCCAAGTCTTCAACTCTTAATATTAAATTATGAAAAAATATCTTCAATAGAAAAAAAATATAATAACTATAATTATAATTGAAATCTCATTTTAAATCTCTTTTGCTAATGTTGTTTGGTTTTCTTTGTGATTAATAAAGATGACCTTATTTGAACTACCCTTGTCTTCTTTGTAGTTATATAGCTCTAAGCTAGATAAACAAGAACTATTGATGTTTTTATTCATATATTTATTTTATGTAAATCCTAAAGATTGTGAATTGGCATCAAAATTATTTTTTCTATTACTTCACTTTTGATACAAGACAAACTCCTCTAATAAAGATGAATATACAAAAATAGTCACTTAGAAAATAAGTTACATAAGGATCAAAAGTATTATCAAACATGTAGAATAGCATAAAGAAACAAGATTTTACAACCTCCATTCAAATAAAATTCTCAAAAACTACAAAATAAATAAATCTCAAAATATATCCATGACTTTGTAACAAAGAGGATCAAGGGGTAAGTCATCCATCACTACTCACTTATCAATGAATACCATTCACCACACCAAATCCTGTAGCCTCACACAAAAGTGTATTTATTCAGTGTGTTATATCCAATTAGCATCTTATTAAAGCACAGATGATTGTTAATTTCATATTCTACAATGCATAATCTCACACAGGGGCCATCTAAGAGCTTCAACGCTAGACCAAAGAGCAGGCATAACCTACAATTGCAATCCAAATATAACGCTAATCCCAAATCTTTCCGACTGTCCAGCACACCAAAACTGTAGATTAGCTCGCAGATCCCATAATCATTGCTGAAGACCAGAAGGACTTCAAGTTACATAGTACAGCTCGAACCTCATGTGAAATATTGTCTTTGAATAAAACCAAAGACTGCAGCAAAGTAAAGATATACTATTCCACGGGTGATGGCACTTGGACCCAACCGGCTTCCCATATGCCGGATCCAACACCCTACAGTCTGACGTGGACCTTTTGATACAACACCGTTGCGAAAAAAAAAAAAAAAAAAAAAAACAATAACTCCAACTCATACTTTGCCATCAATATTGCCTGTATTATCCTTACACGTGTAATATTTATTTTATTTTATTTTATTTTATTCATCATGTATATTTACATATAGATAGTAGTTTAGAAATTCCCAGAGGTATGTATACAAAGAGTACGTAGTATAGTAAAAAACTGTAAGAAACATATTCAAATTAACCATTGCTTGACATTTCATTATTTTACTCAAAATTGTGAAGTACACATGGTTATGACAGCTGCAGAGCATGCTTAAGAATATATAAATTCAAAGTGTGTCTAATAATGACATTTGCATCTCGTAAGTTTGAAACCTCGTTCAAAAGAATGTGAAGTTATATGTATAAATTCCAGCATTGAGTTAAAAGCCGAAGTGGAAAAAATGAAACACTATGAATTAACATTAGATGTATTTGTACTTGAAATCCTTTCCAATGTCCCAAATGTGAATTCCACAGTCAAGTCAACAGTGGATGAAGCTCAGGTGGGTTCAATCTGTGAAAAACTTAAGATTTCTAGTTATCGAAAGGGACGTCAAAGAGATTCTTCAAACCTGAGTATTATTGAAAAAACTAGCATCAAACTCCAAAACAGTACCAACCTGAAACCCTAATCCAGACCCAGCCCTAACACTTTCGACTGCCTACTGGGACAAGAAGCAGAGATTATCTCTATACCTCGACGATCCCATAATCATTGCTGAAGTCCAGAGGGACTTCAAGTTACATAATACAGCTCGGATCTCTTGAGATATCATGTCTTTGAATAAACCCAAAGACTGCAGCAAAGTAAAGATATACTATTCCACGGGTGATGACACTTGGACCCAACCGGCTTCCCATATGCCGGATCTAACACCCTACAGTCTGACGTGGATTTATACTGATGAGTAGTCGGAGCACTTGCGGATGTGCTTATCTGATGAAAAATGTCAGTTTGCCCAAGCGCCCGCTATGTACGAGTTGTAAATCTCCCGAGGCGAGTGTTTTGAAAATCGATGTGTAAGCCAAACAAGTAGGCCGACTGTATCTTTCCGTCGAGGGAGCTGGAGTACCTAAAATGAGACTGTAGCAAGTTTCTACAGTAGATACAGGATCATCCTCTGCTATTCAGGGTCATGTCAGCAAACCTTCTAGCATGTTGTCGCAAAGTTACATTGCAACCAATGTTAATCTTAATTTGTTCTGTTTACGTTTGAATTATGCGTGATCTTCATTCATGTGCGTCTGTTCATAATTGTTGGTATTGTGATTGGTTCCCTGGTTGTAATATGAATTGTGTAGCATTAAAAGTTTCACGAATGAATGATTATCTTTGTGTAAGAATAAAAAAAAACATTTGATTGAACTGCAACACATGTGTAAACGATTATGGGAGTTTCTTCAGTCCACAATCCATTCCGGCATTCAAGAGCCGAAGACATCAGTGTGCAGTGTTGTAGGATCTACGAAGGATGGGCCGCAAGGGTGTATCAATCATGATCTCTTATTGCTCAACTCATGATTTTCTTCACTTCACAAGCAGTTACGAAAATTCCCAGCGTTCACCCGTGCTTGTGCTTCCGCTTGATGCTGTTCCCAGAGACGCCGTATTCGACAGTGAATTGCAAGGATAAAACGGTTCCAATCAGCAGAGCTGGCACCGATCGTGACCCCAAAGTCAAAGCACATACTTGTGGATCAGTACCAATTTGTTGCAGTACCTCGCTAGTTTTCACCATGTATGGTTGCAGCTTCCTTATCACTTCCAGAGCTGATGTGAACTCGACGATGCCTTCGACGTTTCACGTGAGGAGATGATAGGATCAGCAGAGGTATGTAAGACAAGTTGTGACGATCGACACATTGCTAGAGACCTAGAAATTGGCCGCACTGTCGTCCAGTTGTGATTCGTCTTCAATCTGCACCTCAACTATTTCCTGCATCGTGGAAAAACGACCAATTCTAAACGATGAGATTCCTGGCCGTTGCAGTCGGACCTCAGCGAAACAACTGGGGGGCTAAGACCAGAAGTTGGTGGAGCTCTAAAATATGTCCGATACAAAAGAGGTAATTATGGGTGTAAAAAAAGCTTACAGGAATTCGTTTCTGCAAATAATTGGCAACGCGAGCAAGAACCATCGAACGCGTGTGCCAGAAGCGTCCTGAAAGACGGAGTGTAACAAACGGGCCATCTATCTCCGCCAATTGAACGACGCCTACACGATCCAAAAATGAACAAAATTCAGCAATTCGAAGCATCTTGTGATGCCTACGAGACTAAACAACTCAGACAAAAGACAGACCCGAGACACACTCTAGAATTCCATGTTACTCTGCTTTCTCCAAACGTCAACCCGAACAGAAAAACCAACACCGCAAGGTCTAGCATAGAGTTCCGAACAAAATAAAAAGAGATCATTAGTCGAAGAAAAGGGAGGATGAGGAGTCCTGCATACAAAAAACGAATCCTCACAAACAGCGTTGAGAAAGAATAGACATGCATACCTGTGATGCCAACTTTTAGGTCAAACAGCTGCAACAACTGTGACACCAAAAAAAATAAATACCAAAATTAAGGCAAATAAAACCATTCCTTGAAATTTGCATTCCCTTCTCTAAATTGTTGGATATGGCTTCTCGGCTTGCAAATTGTTACAGCTTGGCATTAAGGGCCTACATTCCCTTTGTGCTAGAAAGAGGAAATAACAGACCCGAACAGTGAAACTGCACCCAAAATGCAGTCAACCAAGGTTTGAAGAAATACGCCAATACGAACCATGGCAATATTTGACTGAGGGAGCAAGATAAGAGGGCAACGCACGCATGACAAACCTCCGAGCGCGCGTCCAAGAGCACTTGCTGCACATTCTCTTCAGTCAAGTCCAGTGGCTCTGTCTGCGCGTTACTACCTCCCCACCCAGTCCCGCCACTCCGCCTCGCAACTCCTCTCTCCAACGTCCGCCACCCATGGCTCCTCGTCACCCCAGCTCCACCCACAAATACACGCCGGTGGGTACTTATCCTAGCATTCACAGACGGAACCCAGCTGCGGCTTTGAGCAACGTGACCTGCGACACAGGAAGCAGAGACCCCGAGAACTGACGACATAGCTGCTGCTACTACTCCTCCTCCTCCTCCGCTGCGGCAACGTCGATGTGGGTCACTTTGCTCGAAGAATCAACAACTGGAGAGCGGGCTCCATTATGGTTGTATTGCGGGTATTGTGTGCAGTGCGTCGCGCCCGAAGAGCTCCGACGAGGGTTGGCCAATATCACCAATTGCGAGAGAGTGTGGATAGCATGGCGCGTGGATGACGCCGCCTCACATCGCCCACGTCTCACTCTGTCCCAATTTCTTCACAATAGGAGAGACCCATTCCTACATCGACTAACAACTACTCATCATTTTCAGGCAATTAGATGCGTTCTTTGATTAGATGGTACCCTAGTTTTCCCTTTTTGTTGTTGGAAGTGGATTTCTAGTGGTAATGACCACTGGATTTAAGAGTTGAAACTCTCATACATATATATATATATATATATATATTATGTGCGCCTTTACATGCAATTTTTTTTAAAATATAGGTTTGATAGATGAAGCAAAGGTCTAGTGATGTTTAATGGAGCATGTTTGTGGGATCTTTCGATGGTTTACTTGACATTTGAAATAATAAATTGCTAAGATAATAACCTACATATTTTTCATTTTTGTTTTTTAATTCAAATGAATAGAGAAAGAAATCATAACTTATTCCACTTGGTTTCTGATACATTGTTTAAATTATAAATTAACTTGTAATATATTTTTTGTAGAATTTTTGATTATGTACATCATGAAAATTGGTGAGTTTGATTTTTTTTAACATTTTTACAAACAATAATTTTTATTTGTTTGTACTTTTATGTTTCAAGCAATTCAACAAATATTTTATAATAGTTTATACATCTTCATATAAATAATTATAATTGTACTTTGAACTAATCTATTTAAAGATTTGAAAGATAAATTTAGCTCAATTTTTAGAAAATTTTTATATATATATATATATATATATATGTATGTATGTAAAACAAAAATCAATTTTATAAATTTAAGGACTTGCTAAGTGGGCACCCTCTTTCTGTTGTGTAGACACCTTGTGCCATGAATCCTTGCATACACATAGTAAAATTATTATTTACACTAAAAAGTTTTAGAATAAATTTAAAGTAATCTTTTTTTGTAAATGAAATTAATAAGATTTTTAAAATAAATGAAAGAATTACATAAAATATACTATGAAATTTTGTTAAATTTATTTTCATAAGAATACAAATAAAATGCCACAAGCCATTGCACACAAACCTTTTAGCATAAATTTACTCTATGACTTTTTAGTGTAAAGAAGAGTTATATTGTGTGTTTGTGGAGTTGCTTGGTATATACAATAAAGAGGGGGTGTCCACCCTTGCAATTCTCTATAGTAACTACATTTCAACATAAGTTAACAAGTTAGTTTTATTTACACTAATTTAAGACCTGTTAGTTCTATTTCATAAATAGTTTATTTCTATGCAATAAATGCAATTTAGATAAAATTTGTCTATTTAAAAATTAAGATGAACTCTCCATGATTATACTTTTTAAATTTTTTTGTTGGTGTTATAGATTAAGAAAAAAAATGAATTTTAGTATTGTTTATTATATATATATATATATATATATATATATATATATATATATATACATTAATTATCAAAATCTTATAACTACATTTAATTATCAAACTCTTATAAAGAATCTTGTAATTATTACTTTTAATTTTTAAATTGATATAGCTGTTATTTTTCAATTAAATTGAATTTTACATCTGAGTTTATAATAATTTTTGTACATATAATTATTTTATTTCAAATTTTAGAATGTCAAAATTATTGTTATGCTAATTTTTATTATTTAGATCAATACCATATTTTTAAAATGCATTGAAAAAATTAGACATCTTAAGCAAATATAAACAAGGAATAAAGATAGATATGATTGTGTTCATTTAAAGTTCTACAGTATAATAATCTTGCTAAGATATATAGAAAGTTTGTAAGACAATACATAATTTAATAAATGAATTTGATTTATTTATTTTTTTCTTTTGCTTGTTTTTATATTTGCAAGTCTAAATACATATTGTTGCCATACTATAGAACTTTGCTATCTAATCTCCTGAGGAATATATATACTTGCAAGATCTTTTTGTAGATTCGCTTTGTCTACAGTTCTAAATAAAATATCAGACAGTTTTAAAAAAATCTTTTCAAAGTTCCAAAAATTTCTACAAAGATTTTATAGAATATTAAAGGTTCTAAACAAAATCGATATTTAGTTTCTACGTCACAACCTCCACTTCTGATCAAATATTCCTAAATTAAATATCTTATAAAGAAATATTTTCATGAAACGAATAATTAATAATAATGAAATTTTATTAAAATTTCAAAATCACTTCTTAGTTAATGTTTTGTTAGCACTTTTAAGCCTAAATTGAATGCCTAATGTATCAAAAAAAAAATTATAAAAGTTTTACACAATAAATTTCAGATCCTAAATTATTGTCTCTAATAATTTGCGTAGGAAGTTTTAGTTATAAGCCATTTATTATTTTTAAAATACTTCAATTTTATGTATAATATGAAAGATTAATATTGCAAAAATTAAAGAATTTTTTTCGAGTTTCAGTGAACAAGATTTTTTTAAAAAAAATATTGATAACTGGCATTTGAATACTACACACTTAATTAATTAAATAACTAATTTTTGTACAGAAATGTAATAAAATTACTATCTTCTGCAAAGCTAATTACATATCATATTTTAAGTAATCAAAAAAAAGTTTCAAATTTTATATTTTGTGGATTAAATAGTCGTTTCCTTAATTCTTAATTTTTTAAAGTATTAATTTATTTTTCATACTTTTAACTATAATGATATTATGTTCATACTTTTATGAAAACAGACGTGATTTTTAAATAAGTCTCGTCTTTTTCTATTTCAATATTTTAAATACATATAATACAAAAAGAAATTTAAAAATGATTTTACAACAACAATATATATATATATATATATATATATATATTTGTATTTATACTTACAGTAATGACATATATTTAAATACAGACAAAGTATTTTAGTATATTAGTTTTAGTATTTTAGTATATTAGTTTATTTATAATTATAATTTAGTAAATTAGTTTATTTATAATTATTTATTTTTTTAATGATTAAATCCCAACTTATTAATTATTTATTTATTTTTAGTGAAATATGATACTATGCAATTATATATATATATATATATATATATATATATATATATATATACACATACATATATGTAGAACAACATTAGTTTATTAATCTTAAATTTTGTTAATAAAAACTTAATAATAATTATAATTTTTTCCTATAAAATTTACCTTCAGATATATTATAAAATATAAATATTCATATTTAGTTACAATATATATTTATATATATTGATAATGCAAAAATGATTTTATCTTTTCTGAAATCTATATTAACAGAATTTCTAAAAATCATTACCAGAACATTTTTAGAAATTTATATTAACAGAATCTATATCAATTTATTAAGACAACTAAAAATTATTTAGGAAAGTCGGAATTTATTTTAATATTATGTCAATAATTGTATTCTTAGAAGAAAAAAAAAAAAAAAAAAAAAAAAAAAAACACAATTTACAATTTTTGATGATGACAACAAAAAAAAAAAAATTGAAAACAATTTAGTAAAATTGTCAATACAATATTATTAAATTATATATTTTTTAATTAAATTTCTGTTCAGATTCAATGAATACTTATAATTATGTATGTATGTATGTATGTATGTATAGTAGAGTAGAGTATATTTAAAAAGCAGTGTAACAATATCATAATTTTTTAGTTTATGGTTCAATTGTCTATAGCATTTAGAACTATCCATTTGCTTCATAATTCAGTAGTTATCAATTACAATGTTTGTTTGCAAGATATCAATAAAGCATGTGTTTTTCTGTTGAAAAGTTGCAAATATTTAAAATAAGGAATTGATAAGTGAATTGCTTTGGAACTACGATAAACAAATTTGGAAAGTCGGAATTTATTTTAATATTATTTTTCTTGGTTGAGGATGGAGCAAAATAGAAGTTACTACTTCAAAAACATGTATCGTAAAATCGATAATGTACTAAACTCGAAAAGGTCTATATATAGTAATTTACAGAGATGGATTAGGGTAAAACAGGAGAGAAGGAATAAAGAAGGAAAAAAGGCCAAATAGAATAGTAATTCAACAAATTTAGACAACTCACATGGCCAAAACAAGGTGTGATAAGCGAGGTACACGTCAGCAATCCATGCCCATTAATCCGACGTGGCGTGTGACATGGCAGATTCCAAACGGGGCGTGGAACATCAGGCTTCCCGCAAGGCGTCCGGATGCATGCATCTCCACGCACGTTTACTTTTACATCTTTTACAGCATGACTTTTTTTTTCTTTTTTCTTTTTTTTCTTTTTTTCCATCTATTGTCTTTACTTTTTCAAGCCAAAGGAGGCCCGTCCCTCTGTATCGGAGAGGTCCATCGTAGAGCCTTCATCTCCTTCGACGAGTGCAGCGTCGGTTTTGTACTCTCTCTCACACAAGTTTCGCTTGGTCTCCGTTTACTCTCACTCTCAGGCTCAGGCTCATTTCACGGGTTCTGCAAATTGGGCGCTTGTTGTTGTTGTTGTTGTTGTTGTTGCAGTGCTTAAATATTTGGGGCGATCGATGCAAATTTGCTGAGTTGATCCATCTCGCTTTGGTTCCTTCTCCCCACTCCTTTCGAAACGTGACTTTTGCAGCTGGGGTACCTCCATCTTGCCGAAACACTTGTCGCTTGTTGAAGAGAGAGGAGTTGAGTGACTGATTGAAGTTATTTTAAGTCGACAAGCGTAGAGTATTCTCTTAGTCTACACTCCGTGCAAAGGATTTAGTTCGATCCTGAGATTAAAGGATGTTGCGATCGAAAGATGCAGCCGTTTGTACTACTGTTCTTAAGGCCTGTTTTATGATGGGGTGTTATGGCGAGGGAGTCGTAGTTAATTGCTCTAATTTATTTATTTATTTTTTTTTTTGTGTGTGTTTGATTTTTGGAATTCTTTGTATTTTATTTGATGTTTGAAAAAATGTTGTTAACCTGGTCTCAATATTCCATGACGCGTCATGGAATGTGTAGTTTGAAATTAGGAAGTGGGTCCGCGATTGTCCCAACCTCGCTATTGTCGAAGCAGCTGCGGAATTAATTGGCATAGGTCTCTTAGTTTCATGCATGACCTTCTCATTTAAAAATTTCCATTTGAGCACTTGTACTGAACTCTCCATGCTCCGGGTCCTGAGTGGTGATGTTTCTGATTGACGATGTAGGGTGATTGAAACCGAGGAGCTGATTAGAAACATAAAGGAGATTTGCTGGCTAGGAAAAAGGCAGTGCAAGGACATGGCGAGCGCGATAGTAGACAAGGTGAAATCGGTGATTCAGCCGGAGGATGAAAACGGAAAAGCAGGTCATTGCTGCAGCGCACTGTCGAGTGGACCAGGCTATGCGTCCCCAGAGCAAGCCCAGAAAGGACCACGCGAGAAGCTGCTTTACATCACTGCTGTTTACACAGGTAGCGATCTTTGGACTGCCAATTCATTTCCACTATGTGGCGTGAAGATGCAGCGTTCGTTTCAGTAATATTCTGAAGCTGGGATACTGGTCTTTCTCTTGAACCTGAAACATGGGTGGTGTGGGTGTAGGAACCGGCAAGAAGAAGCCCGATTATCTGGCCACGGTTGATGTGGACCCAAATTCAAACACATATTCAAAGGTGATTTACCGCACGGTGGTGGACCATTTGGATGACGAGATCCACCACAGTGGCTGGAACACATGCAGCTCTTGTCATGGTGATGGCGGTCAGAAGCGCCGCTACCTCGTCCTTCCATCGCTTGTGTGGGCATTCACAACCATATTCTACAATACGAAGCTGCCCTCTAAATCTGATGTTGTGATGTGTTTTGGCACTGATACGTGTCTGTCAATGTTTGGGACGTCGTTTTATATTAAGGTAGACCAAGAGGCTTACATTAATTTTGCAGGTCAGGACGGATCTACATTGTAGACACGCTGAAGGACCCGCGGGCACCGCAGGTGCATAAGACGGTGGAGCCGGATGAGATATTGTCGAGAACAGGGTTGGCTTATCCTCACACTGCCCATTGTCTCGCAAATGGCGATATCATGGTGTCGTGCATGGGTGACAAAGAAGGAAACTCTAAAGGCTCTGGTTTTCTGCTCCTTGACTCAAATTTCAACGTCAAAGGAAGGTATGCGGTCTATCTCTCTGTTTCCGAGCCCTAGCCTCCATGTTTGCTGCTGCTTCAGTCTTCTCTATTTCTATAAGATTTGTACTGGTAGTGCTGTGTATTACTGAAGCCTTAGTTCACTTTAGTGTTAAATGTTTAGGATAGTGATTTTCAATTCTTTAGTGGATAGGCTGCAGTTGCAAACTGGGTAGTCTGTTGTCATATCGCCCGTCACTTTTCCTTGTTCCATAATAGAGATCCAATAAACAGTTGATAGGAATGTGTATTGTGTGTATGCTGAGGCTGTTCCGATGTAAGGAGGCTACTTGGATGTCTTGAATATACACTTACAACTATTTGTGCGTGTGGCAGGTGGGAAAAGCCGGGTCATAGCCCGCCTTTTGGTTACGATTTCTGGTACCAACCTCGACATAACGTGATGATTAGCTCCTCGTGGGGTGCGCCTAAGGCATTCTGTAAAGGTTTCAATCCAGCTCATGTCGCTGATGGTTTATATGGTCAGCACTTATTTGTCTACGACTGGCCTGAGGGTACTCTAAAGCAAACTCTCGACTTGGGCAACACTGGTCTTATTCCTCTCGAGGTACGCCTCCAAGCGTTTGTTCAGCAATTGCATATTCGATGTATTTTGATGATAATTCGATTCGATTCCTATGGTATGGAAGGTGCATGACAATATCTGTCGATGTAATGATTCAATGCTTTACCTTTCCACAGATTCGCTTCTTGCATGATCCGAGCAAGGCAGTGGGATATGTGGGAGCTGCCTTGAGCAGCACAATGGTCCGTTTTTTTAAGAAAGATGACGACACGTGGGATACGCAGGTGATTCACTACACCTTCGCATCCCAAATCAATGTCTGCACTGTTTGTTCTTCTTTAGATCATCTGGCATGTCTTATCACATTCACGCATTTGACAACCGCCTAACACTGTCCTATAATATGGCTTTCCATGCCAGGTTGCCGTAACTGTGCCTGCATTGAAGGTGCGAAACTGGATATTGCCAGAAATGCCAGGACTCATCACTGACTTCCTCATTTCACTTGATGATCGATTCTTGTACTTCTCCAATTGGTTGCACGGTGACATCCGGCAGTACAACATTGAGGACCCCGCAAATCCAGTTCTCACGGGTCAAGTATGGGTCGGCGGACTAATTCGCAAAGGTGGTAATGTTTACGTCGAGGAGTCGGGTGAGACATGGCAATCAACTGTTCCTGATGTCCAGGTGAACTTTCTATCCTTGCTTTTCCCCTCAGATTGTCTCTATACAAACTTCGCTTAAACGGGCCATTTAGACCATGACATGGAACAATTTAAGACTGACTTTGCTGAACGTCAGCAGAACAGAGTAATGAATTTCCTCTTTAGTTGCTAATTCCGACCCACGTCCTCTCTCGTTTTCTTTCCGTCGTCGTGAAGTCAAAGAGTTTTACTTATGGCATTGAGAAGCATCAGTAAAATAGTTGAAACCCACTTATTATATGTTGGTGGTGGTGTTGAATAGGGGACGGAGTTGAGAGGCGGCCCGCAGATGATTCAGTTGAGCTTGGACGGGAAGCGATTGTATGTCTCAAACTCGCTCTTCAGTGCATGGGACAATCAGTTCTACCCGTCCATGGTGGAGAAGGGGTCTCACATGCTTCAGATAGACGTGGACAATGTGAAGGGAGGTTTAACTATCAACTCACGGTTCTTCGTCGATTTTGGTGCTGAGCCTGAGGGCCCTGCCCTTGCTCACGAAATGCGCTACCCTGGAGGCGACTGCACTTCAGATATCTGGCTGTAGATCGAACTGCCAACAAGTGGGGACCTGTTGTGAACTAAACATGTAAAACTTGTGGATTTGAATAATGAATTTGGTTGATAGTTGAGTTCTCCTCGTTGCTTCGGTTGGCATCTAAGTGCTTTGTTTGGAGTGAAACTGTGACTCCTGTGTTGGTCTCGCACGGAAGGTGCCATCTCTTCGAAACGGGGCATATGTTGAGTGTATCTACAACATCTTGACCCAATGGAGTGAGAAATGAAAAAAAGATTTGAAAGCTTCTTTCGACAATGAGATCCAAGTTTCCAGCTGGTTTTATGTTCATCAACGGCTTGTTTTTTCCTTGTGGGAATTGTTCTCCAGGCTCGTCTTGGCCTTTTTCTGAATGTTTTTATTCTTCGGAATAGGTGACCTCAAACAGCTCCATTCTAAGTTATTCTTTTTTGAGTCAAGAGGCTAGTGACCACGAGCCCCTCTGCTTACACACAAGTGGACAGAAAAGTGGACCTGATAACAGAAAAGGCGTTTGTGGAATGAATCTTGCAATTGCTTTGTTGCTAATTTTCAGTGGAATAACTTCAGTGAAAAATTTATGAGTGTAAATTATAGATAAAAGTGACAAGATTAATAAACTGTATTGTCGGGTGTAGGATACCTTTTTGCAACAAAAAGTTAGGGGTCAGGAGACTAACAAATGATTTATTGTAATCGCTTTGTGTTCAAATGTACGTGATTGCATCTTCAAAACTTACTACATTGTTTTAAACTATAGGTTTTGTAAAACATATATCGTCAAACATCAGATCCATTTACTAATTAAAAGCATATCAATGTTTTAGCCTATTATTTGGAGTTGCCAACACTTGGAAGATAGACATTGATTTCATAATTTTTATTTTAGAACTATACAAGTAGTTAATCATATTTCTTCAAAGATTATTATATATATATATAATAAATGAAAGAGAGCTGAGTGGAAGTGGCAAAGTAATAGAGGCCACACAACAATAAATAGATTTAGCTCAATTGATGCAAGTAGTTAAACCCTAATCAATCTCTTAAACAATATTAGAAGTAAAATATGAATTTTTAGTTTATAGAACTAGGGCTCTTATATATTCCTTCTTTCAAACAACCACAATGCAATGATCTATTTTTTGTGAATTTAAGACACTAATGGTAGTAGTCCCAAGCATTGCTCCACTGACAAGAGAGCAACGTTGTCGTGTTGTAACACGAGTATACCGTGAAAATATAAAGAAAAAGGACTTTTATTAATATTCAGTTACCTCGAATATTGGGAGCAACGACCAACTCCTATACAAATACTGAGTGGCCAGATTCAGTCACCCCGTTACAGTCAACCGGGGCATACTGAAATGCTCCGTTCAATTCCAATAACGGGAGTCAGCGGGAAGAGAAGGACCAATTCACACGACGGGTTTGAAGAGCCAATTGGATCCAATTTCGAGAATCCAATCCGGGTCCTCTTACCCAATATGAGACCTGAATTGGCCAGGCAACCCAATGCAAACCCAATTACGAGAACATCCAGGTTACTACGGGCATCTTACCCAATATGGGACCTGAATTGGTGTCACGGCCATAATCATGTAAGCTAATAATTACATATAGAAATAGGTAGAAGTAAGTAAAAGTAGATAAAAGTAAGTTAATTCTATAATATTTAATATAGAAGCTTCCTAGAAACTTCCTAGATGCTGCTTTGACTTCATAGGTGTCTTTAATTGACTTTTTGGATTAGAAACGTGGTCAACAAGTTGGCCATGTGCCACACATGTTGTTAGCTTGAAGATCAAGGTAACTATGTGGCCCACACGTAGAAAAACTTGCCTTGTAAGTCAAGGCATGTGTCCTACAAAGTCAACACATCTTGGAGGTCCTATAGAACGTCGCCACGTAGCCCCTAGTTAGATAGTATATATAGAGACAAGAGTGAAGGCTTCTTCACTCTTGTCAACTCCTTTCTTGCTTCTAGTCCAGGTTCAAGAGTCTTTAGTTTCTTGTCTTGTGGCAATAGCCATTCCAGTTTCCTTTTAATATACCTACTTGTTTATATTTTGACTTATTATATCAAGATAGCCTTTTGGTGTATATTTTCCCTCATCGAGTCTTTGTCCTTGACAGATTGACAAGAGTACACTTACAATATCAGAGCTTTGTTTTTTCTTGAGTAAGAGTGGATTACCCCTTTCTCTTGATAAGACATAAGCATATTAGAAGTTTGCGGATTACCCACTTCTAAACTGATATTGTTCTTAGTATCTTCTTTGTTATCAAGTCTTTCTTTTCTTTTGTCTTGAGCAATATCAAACAAATTTTTCTTCTTAGTGTCATTATGGCAGAGCTTGTTGAAATGAAGAGTGCAATGGCACAAATGCAAGAGCAAATGAGGGAGTTAATGCTTGCGATGCATCAACTCAATTCACCAACACAAGAAAGAACAAGAATAGCAGAAAGTGGAGATATAGAGATGATCGGAGCTGCTTCAACATCTACAACAAATCACGTTCCTTCTCCAATTCTACAACACCCTATAAGCACTAGAGAACCAAGAATTGCCTTACCTGAGAAATTTGATGGTACGAGATCAAAGTTTCGAGGGTTCATCAATCAAGTATAATTGGCAATTGAACTTCAACCGCAAAGCTATCCAACTCCAGGATCACAAGTCAGGTTTATTGGCACTCTACTTTCTGGTTCTGCATTATCGTGGTTTTCGTCTTTTCTTGAACAACAAAATCCAATATTGGACAATTTGGAAGCTTTTTTGGCAGAGTTTCGATCTATGTATGGTGAACACGATGTAACTCGTGTTGCAACAAATAAGATCCAAATTCTGCGACAAGGAAATCACTCAGTAACAGTATATGCTTCACAATTTCGACAACTTGCAATTGACATCAAGTGGGATGATGCTGCACTCATCAGTCAATTTCTTTATGGATTGCAATACGAAGTAAAGAAATTGATGCTCAACTTACCTGATCCTCAAACTTTCAGTCAAGCAATCGATTTTGCGGTAAAATGTGATAATCGACTTTTCGAATTTCGATCCGAGAATCATTCACGGGAACCTCAACGTTATTACTCAATGGCAACATCAACATCTTTGCCAAACGTACATTCAAAAGTAGAAGACATGCAAATTGACGCGGTACGTTTTAAACCCCTAACTGAGCAAGAAAAGATTCGTCGTCGTCAAGAAGGATTATGTTTATATTGCGGAGAACCTAAGCACACTACTCAACATTGTCCAAAGAAACGACGCAACTATAAAATGAGGGGTACGACGGTCAAAGAAGACAACATGTCGGAAAACGGATTCGTCCAGCTACAATAGGGACCGTGCAGCTGGAACCTTGTACAATTCCTAATGAAGGTCCTATCCTCTCCTCAGAACCCTCTCCTTGTTTTATAATAGACTTATATTTAGGACCTAAGAATTACAAAGCCTCTACTTTATTAGATTCGGGAGCCTCAGCATGTTTTTTAGATGAACAATTTGTTAAAAGTCATAAAATACCCTTTGTACAGAAACCTAAACCAGTACATGTAGAAGTCATAGATGGTCGTCCCTTGTCTTCTGGAGATGTCACTCATGAAACTCATCCTATAAAAGTAACAATAGACGGTCATGATAGCTACATAGCTTTTAACATAATTAAATCCCCGTCCAATCCAGTTATTTTAGGTTTATCCTGGCTAGAAAAATATAACCCTCGAATAGATTGGAATTTGCATAAACTTGACTTTCTCCAAAGCGTTATTAATAGTTCTACCAATCAAGTAAAAAATTATAAGTCTAGTATAGTAAAACCCGTACTGATAGGTGCAAAAGCATTTATACACGCAGCAAAAGAAGGATCAACTTTTGCTATTTATGCTGCACCTATTTTTGAAAACGTAAAGACTTCAATTGGCATTCCAAGTCAATATCAGGAGTATCAAGACGTTTTTGAGAAAAAGAATGCAGATATTCTTCCTGAGCATCGCCCATATGATTGTTCAATCGACCTCAAGGAAGGAACTCAGCCACCATTTGGACCAATTTACAGTTTATCGCAAGATGAGATGGCTGAACTCAAGACATATATTGACGAGAATTTAGCGAAGAATTTTATACGCCATTCAAAATCTCCAGCAGGAGCTCCAATTCTATTCGTAAAGAAAAAAGATGGATCTTTACGAATGTGTGTTGATTATCGAGGACTCAACAAGATCACAATCAAGAACAGGTATCCATTACCTTTGATATCAGGACTCCTTGACCAGTTGAATCAAGCTAAGATCTATACAAAAATAGATCTAAGAGGAGCATATAATCTAGTACGGATCAAAGAAGGAGATGAATGGAAGACTGCGTTTCGAACTAGGTATGGACATTTCGAATATAATGTCATGCCCTTTGGACTCACGAATGCACCAGCTGCTTTTCAACATCTCATGAATGATGTATTTCGTGAATTCTTAGACAATTTTGTCGTCTGTTATCTAGACGATATCCTGATCTATTCTAAGAACGTCGAAGAACATGAAATACATGTTCGTCAAGTATTACAAAAACTTAGAGATGCAGGATTGTACGCCAAGATGGAAAAGTGTGTATTTCACACTACTCAAGTTGACTTTTTAGGATACATCATTTCAAATGATGGTCTCATGATGGATTCTAAGAAAGTCCAAACAATCATGGATTGGAAGATTCCAAGGACAGTAAGAGATGTCCAATGTTTCTTGGGATTTGCCAATTACTATCGGATCTTCATCAAAGATTTCTCACGAGTTGCAGCTCCACTTACACGCTTGACTAGTAAAGATAAATTCCAATAGAATCAAGAAGCGGAAGCAGCATTTGAAGCCTTGAAGACATCGTTTGTCTCTGCACCAGTCTTATATCGTGTTGATTTTTCCAAGGCATTTTTTATGGAAACAGATGCATCAGATTTTGCCTTGGGTGCAGTTTTATCACAAATGGGAACAGATGACAAACTTCATCCGATAGCTTTTCATTCAAGAAAATTCTCAGCAGCCGAGATCAATTATGAGATCCACGATAAAGAACTTCTTGCGATCGTGGATTCCTTTCAAGAATGGCGTCATTATCTAGAAGGCGCTTCTAGTCCAGTCACTGTATATACAGATCACAAGAACCTCGAATATTTCATGTGAGTACGCGTGTTGAATCGTCATCAAGCTCGTTGGAGTATGTCTTTGTCAAGATTCGAGTTCATTATCACTTATCGGCTAGGAAAACAACAAGGTTTGTCCGA